AAAAACAAAAATTAGTTTTTAATTTATCAATTATTTAATTAAATTTATTTACTTAACATTTATATTAAAATTAATATCAATTTTTTATATTTTTTTATATGCATTTATAATAAAAAAATACTATTAACCTATGTCTTTATAGCACGAATTAAAAAAACTTTATATTCTAATTTAAACCTTATCCTTAAATAATAATCTTTTTTAATATTTTAAAGAAATTAAATATTTTTTTATATTTTAACCTTATTACTATCTCTTGATTTTAATTAATCATCCTATCATATCCTTTAACTTTAATTAACCATTCTATCATAGGAGTAAAAAAGGTCTCTCTCTCTATCTTTATTTCTTTTTTTTTTTAAATAGTATATAGAAAAAAAAAAACATAAATTAACCTTAAATCCTTGATCTACAAAATAAAATAGAAAAACATATATAATTATTCTTGGAGAGAAGATGTGGTTTAGTTGGTAATATGATGTGCTTTGAAACTCATTGACTATTTCACATGGTTGTTCGTATTCGTTTTGTATTGATTGGTATGGTCCGTACGTATCGGTTTTTACATTAAACCAAAACAATACAAGATTCAATTTCATTTTAGTCAAATTTCGTTCATTTCGATCAAATTTTGATGTATCGACCAATATTTCGACATACAGATCGATATATTGAAAAATTGGGTGGTACAGCTCAATTCAAATTTAAAAAGGATAAATTCCATTTTTGGTCTTCAACTTTAATGTTTTGCATAATTTTCATTTTTTAACTTTTTTATTTATTTTTTTAGTTCATCAACTATGAAAAATGTATTTTTTTAATCTTTTTATCAGTTACTCCGTTAACTTTCTCTAAATATGCATATTTTTAGTTCTTTAACTTAAAATGAAGAGGCGAAAAAGATGCATATATTAGAAGTTGAGGTTTTAAATATTAGTTTATCTTATCAATATTTTAAATTTTGATATTTAATTTATAAAAATATATATTTATAGTAATAAATCCGAAACGATACGCGAAAAATTCTTGTTTTCGGTACATATCGTTCTAGTAGTAAAATCAATACATATGTCGGTACAGTATTGACAACTTTGCTATTTCATTTGCTCAACTTTAGTAAATTTAATATTATTTTAGAGTAGATGGAGTAGTTGATTGCATATCCCCATAGGTACCCCTACTCCAAAGTAAAAAAATAAAAAGTCCAATTAAAATCTAAGTATAAAATGTTAGTCATGAGCTTGGTAATCATCCATTTAATGTCTCACGTAATTAAACTGATTAAGGGAAAGTAACAATTAAGGGAAAAAAAAAAGAGAGCAGAAACATTTGTCTCAGAAAGGAGAGGAGGCTTTCCAGGTTTGGATCAATTCCGTAGCACACTCCTCGTGAAAACTATGAAACTTTCCCTTCCCCATATATCTCCAACCCAAGGAGAAACTTGACAATAAGTACCAACTACTGTTTGGAATCTAGTGGGCCATCCTCCTTTTTTGCCCTTTTTTAAACAATAAAAATTAAAAATAAAATAAAATAACAACTCTTGTTCAGTGTTCCTACCTAAAATAAACTTTGAACGTGGATATAAAACGACTTTCTCCTTAGTTCTTCCCCTATTTTCTCTGTTCTCATTTTTTCCTTCCTCATCTTCATCTTTCTATATCTTTCCCCTTCTTGTCACGATGGCCGATCAATTTTCTCCACCAGACAGCTATAGCTCGAGCTCCTGGCTCTATGGTGACAGTAGCAGCAATGGCATTTCATCGACAACCATAGTCTGGATTGTGGTTGGCGTATTGATTGGCCTTTTTGTGCTTGCGTGTGTTTATATCGTTGCAAAGAAGTGTGACCTTGGTTTGGACTGCATGTGCAGGGGCGGAGTGGTTCCCAAATCTCAGATGAAACAGTGTGAATCAAAGGATTGATTTGCTGCCCACCTGCAAGTCCGTATTATGGTTAGGCAAAACTAGCAGAATAATTGAAAGTTACATTGCAACTACGTACGATGTTATCTTTTCTTTCTTTCTTTCTTTCTTTTTTTTTTTTCTTTTTTTTTGGGTTAATTTTCATGAATTTTATTTCTAGACTGTATGTGGCATTATCACTTTTTCTGTTTATGACATGCTAGATCAAATTAATTATTGAATGTTATATCTAATAATCCTTCCGGCCCGATTTAATATTTCATCTCAATAAAATAAAATTTCTTGTTTAATTTAATTATCAAATTGCTTAATTGTTTTCCCATAAGAAAATTACTTAATTGGTTGTGCGCCACTTTCCTTATTACTTTCTTTAAATGTGTACCTTGTTGTGTAATTCTGAATTTTAAATTATTGTGACTATTAACAAAGTAATATGAAATGCAAAATGTATTTTTTTTAGTATGGATTAATGTTCTATTCTATCCTTTTAACAATTATCAAAAAAAATATTTATTATATTTATTTATTATAATAATTAATGCTCAACTTTTCAATTTTCCCTTTATTGACAATGAATATAAAAGGTTACGATGCATTCACTATGTTTTATTAATAAGTAATTACAGTATAATAATATAAGTAAAACTACAATAACAATATTTAATGTATTTTAAAATAAGAAGTGCCCTAACAAATTTCAAATTTTAGTAAGTGAGAAAACTGAATCAGATGGTAAAAAATAATATACATCTCTGAGTCTCCAAAATCAAGGATTATGTAGAATCCTTAGCCCGATCACTTTGAGCATTGGTTAGTCATAGATAAAGGGCACCTCATTATATGGGAACCGAAAATGACTAGTACATAGAATGTTTGATGGGGAGTGAGAAAGTCCACATCTAAAATAAACTTGTAGAGATGTATCCTTCTCCAAGCGAGTAAAAAACATAAAATAATATAAAATTTATTATTAAAAAATAATTGATATATCTTTTAATTTAATATATATTTTAATATTTATTTAATTTAATTATTAAAATATAAATATAAATATAATTAAATCAATCAAGTTTTACATATTTTACATATAATTGTATCTTTAAATTTTTTATCTTTAATTTTTTTTATGGATTTTATCTTTAATTTTAAATTAAAAACTAATAATTTTTAATAAATATTTTATATAATATATGTTATACCAATTAGTGTTCTTTTCTTCTTGTAGTAGAGCTCCCGTCAGAGGACGCAACCCAGTCTATCAGTTGGATGATGATGACGAATCCCCATGAGGATGTTCGTAATCCAACATCAACTAGAAAACAATGATGAACCATTGCAACGTCAAGCTTAGTTAGCCAAACTACTTGAGCATTAGTGACAGAGACTGAAAAGATATTTAGGGGTTAAAATGAAACGTTAATAAAGAAATGACCTAAAATTATATTATATAAAATAAATTAAAATTTTTAAAAGAAAAATAATAAAAAATAAATTCGGTCAACTTGATTCATCATTTTTCGAATCAAAATTTAGGCCCTTAACTCGCCCAGTGCTTACCCGTAGATTAAGGACAAGCCAATGAGCCAATAACCATTACAGAGCACCTTCGACGGAGTGAAAGAGTCAAAATTGAAAATGATTCCAGATGATTGAAACTTGTAAAGAGCTGGTAGACGAGCTCCTAATTAATGCAGAAGATGTATAATTAAAATCTTTTTAAAATAATTATTTTTGAAATAAATGATTAGTTTGGGGGCATCTTAATCATAAAAAAAAAAAGTAGACGCGCTTCTCCTACGGGATGCAACACGGTCAATAATTGGATGATGGTGACGAAGTCCCCATGACCATGAGGACGTTGATACTCCAACATCAACAGGACAGGGAGACAACAATGATGAACCGTTGAAATGTCAAGCTTAGCTAGCGGTGGTAAACTCTGACTTCACCTCTCCTCAGCTTGCTGGTTAGTTGAGATTCCGATATTAATAAATTGCCTCACATTGACTACCAACTTTAACCTTGTTTTATAGGACTTTTTTTTCCAACCACTTCAAATATTCCCTAAATATTTTTTCAATCATTTCTAAGTGAGTGAAATATATTAAAGATGGATTTGTCTAACTTATGTATTTTTTTATGATTATTTTATATAAAAATTTATAAAAATAGATATGTATTTGAATATTATTATTATATGAATAGTTATAATTAATCAATTAATTAATTTAAAATTAATATTTATATTTTTTACATATATTAATTATAAAAAATACAATAAATATATTTTTAACCTCTGTCCTAACTTTTATCCTAAAGACACCAAATAAAAAATCTCGTTAAAGAAATCCCTCATGACAACTTTCTTATATACAAACTTAAGATAGAGATGCGAAGGAGTAAGCACTTACCGGTTATAATTTTTTTTTTTTTTTTTGGATTAAGATTCTTTGCTTGTTAGGTAACTAATTTTTTAACATATTAAAAAAAGAATGACAATAATATAATTGTTGTTTACGCTACAAATTGTAAAATTATTAGATGATGCCATATGTCATGAAATTTAAATAAGTGGCTATGATTAAAACACCTAATATCTGATCTTATTATGATTAGACCTGGCAAACGAGCAGGTTGAGTCGGGTTAAAGTCAAGTCAAAATGAGTAACAGGTCAAAACAAGTTGGATTAAAACGTGTCACAGATTAATAAAGACGGACCCTAACCCACCCATCAC